CCACGATCTGTTGGCCGCGATGCTGTTCGCCGACGAACCGTGGCTGGGATATTGGGTCGGTCGAGCATCGGTCGATTTCGTCTCGATCCTGAGCAACGACGCGTAAGTTACTTCGTTCGAACTAATTTAACTATATTGGATAATGCGGCACGTTGTTACCACGCTGATGTTAATTTACGCCGGTTCCATATATCGCAGCGAGGACGAGTATTCTGCCGACAACGTTTCTGTTTAACCAGTTTACCTATCTGGACTCTGGACTTGGCTCGATCTTAGTACACCCCCGTTCATAAGCGCAATAGAGTCTTCCACTTGCGAACTATTGAAGATAAAAATGATCACTTTTGCGATTCCAGGTTTTATTTATTCAAATAGAGATTCAAAAGATCGTTGGTTTGTTTTGGTGCCTGAGGATAACATAAAGAATTCTATGGAGCTCCGTTCTTCTTCTTATTTGAAACTATCGGAGTCAATTTTGAAATGCCTCGAGTGCTACTTTGTGAGAAGCCACATCTTTGTCATTTTCATTGGCTGTTTAGATCACGATAATATTACTTCTAACAGGAACAGATATCTGCTACTAGCAGACATTCTATTATTGCGTGATACACGTATAGTAGACTGTTCTGTTCGTATATTGGAACGTTTACAATTTGCACTTAAATATAATGCTCTACATGACAAAATACTGTATAGAATGAAAGCTGAACACAGCATTTGAGGGAATACAATTTCGATATCTCTAATCGTTCGAAATAACAATGTCAATCTCAACAAAGACGCAGACTGTGAAAGCGCGAAAACACGTCTGATTCAGGATGATATTAGCTTTGAACCGCGTAGTAATAAAGTTGCCGCACCATTCATTCGAACAATACAGGCAGGTATAATGGGGTAGAGGTTTACAGATAGATATAATGGGATGGAGATTTACAGACGACGAGCTAAAATTGAGGCAGTTGAACAAAGGAACGGTAGAAATCGTAAATGACGGGTGGCCTCACTCGGTACAACGACGGCTTTAATCTCGCCTGGAGGGCAGCATAGGGAGGGTGAATTACTAAACCGTAACAATTTCCGAGGAAAGGTCAATATACCTTCTAATCTCGCTGTCACCGAATACGTCAGCTAGACGTACACTATACGTGTATATAGAAACTATGTTTTACCTGACCAGGATGGCAATTTCCCCTTTGAGACAGTAACCACGAGACGGCCACTGGCACAAGGAAGGAAATACGCGTGTAAATCGAGCTGCGGCGTTTCAATTGCTGTCCACGATACACACCGATGTCTCGTCAGTGAAAAGAAACGTTGTTGGGTCGTCTGGTTGCATTAGAGTTTCATTAACGTTATAATACAAGACGAGCGTGCTTTCTCGTTGCCGACCCACTTTTTACTTGCGATTATGTATACCCGCTGAATAATCGAGATTCTCACCAAGCATGAAAACCACTAACGTCGACATTCCTCCGTCGATCTTCCTTCTCTTCTACATAATTCATCGATTGCCGATTTCGAGAGCGACTACCAAGGTGTCAGAAACGACAGGATCGAAAGTTACACACAGCGGTTTGAGGTCGAACGAGCACGCATAGCTGGAACTTACATTCGACCTCGTGATTTAAGAGGTTTCGCAACAGCGTGCAACGTTCATACGGAAGCACACGCGATCATATCGCCTGCATAATTGCGCGTCGAACCGTCAGGAGGAAGCCGCTCTGTCAACGATATTTTCTTCTTGATTCTCGCTTTGAGACATTTTTTTCTGAATTCAGAATGTATGCAGAATAATCGTCTAGAAAATAATTATCTGCATATTCGTAAGATTCGCTGTATTTTTTTCTATTGCATATAAAATCAATATAATTGCATAAAAGATCAATTTCGATACTCGTTAATGAAGATAACGACTAGCGATTTTGTAATCTTTGATCTGGGTCAAGATGACCTTTACGGTCATATCTTGCTATTTCTAGAGTCATATGTTAATTTTAAATTTATGTAAAAATGTAAAGTCGACGAGGATGATCGACGTAGAAAGATGCGTGTCATGGTCGAGAGCATCCAGGTCAGAATGTCGTTCTGACTCGTTTAACATTTTTTACAGTTATGCGCTTGTGGAATTTTGGGTGCAGGCCTGTGGCTACGATTGGCTTACTCCGGATACACGACCTTGGTGCCGCACTACAGTTTCGCGTCAGCTGACTCGTTGCTGTTAGCCGCTGGATGTGTGACCTTCGTCATCGCCTTCTTCGGATGCTGTGGTGCATGGTTTCAATCGAGATGCATGTTAATCACGGTTCGTAGACTCTCATTCCTCGTCCACTTTCCTACGGGTATCACCTTTGCTTTGATATTCATTTTCTAATTTTTCTCTCTTCGTAGTATTTTTTTTTGGTAATACTGATGTTCCTCGGTGAATCCATGTTGGGCACTCTGGCCTTCATCTTTAGAGAACATTTATCGAAGAGCTTGAAGGACGAGCTTCTTTTCGGTATTGAAAAACATTATAATCTGACCAGGGAACCTGGTACTCTTCCTGCTATATGGGACCACATACACACAGAGGTGAGAACAGCCAAGTATGTCTACGTTAACGCTAAAACCATCCACGATTAAAGACTCGAAACTGGAACTATTCTAAATATGTATTATTCTCCAAACCACATTTGCAGTGGTTGCAAAAAGTATTGACACATACCAACGAAGCATTTCTTATCAGGTTCTATGCTTCACTTTCGCAGTATCAAATTTTTGTAGTCGCATGGAAGTACTGTTAAATGATATGACATTTGAATGATATTTGAGCTTAATTAATTAATATGTAATATGTATGTACGATAGATATAACAGCGTACCAATATTTATTACGACCGGTGTACGTACCATTATTCAATTTCTCTTTACTGCATCGAATCTCACTAATTTTTCATTGATCTTCTGCCACAATTTTAGTTCCATTGCTGCGGTGTACGAGACTATACCGACTGGTTCCGGATCGACGCATGGCCGACGGAAGACCGCGTACCCGATTCCTGTTGCATACAGAGGGAACGATATTGCGGTCGTCTTGGCCCTGGGGAACGAAACAAGGAACATTGGTACCAAGAAGGTTGCGCAACAGCTATTCAAATGTGGCTAGTTACTAGGCTTCACGTGGTCGGAACCGTTGGTCTTGTTGTGGCTTTCCTTCAGCTATTCGGACAGGTGGCCAGCATGATCTTGTTCTGCACTGTCAGGCACAAGAGATCATCCCACACGTACAAGAGCTACGATACTGCGAACACCTAGAATTTCAGATGGATCTTAGACGAAACCAGTGTCTAAGATCCATCGAATCCAACCAATTATATATTACACGTTACATTCGCGATGATCACGATCTTCTTCGTGAAATGTCTGAAGAAGATTTCGATTGTCGCATGCGCTACTCCTCGAGCGAGATATGGATCCCTGTAAATTTCATTCGTTGCCTTCGATGTTATTCCGTAATGCCAAGAGGCGAAAAAGACTCCTTTTCTAGCGTAGAATTTGAGTAGACCAGTGATCACTGCGAATCATCACGACTCTGAGTAAGCGTTAAAGATCGTTACGAAGGTCGTGAAATTTCTGCTAATCCGCGACAGAGATAATAGGATGAGTTAATAAACGAGCGCGACTTCAAAGATGCACAAGATACGCCGTTACTTGGCTCGTTACTTTCGATAAATGATTGCTTTTCCTAAAGGATCAGCTTGACGAGTTTCTAACAAAATACCTTCGATTTATAGGAATAACGACGACATACTGTCGAGGACGGTCCGACAAGTGACTACTATCACATCATTTTAATCGACTTTCGATCATTAGAACGTTAGATCGTTAGTATGTGAGAGAATTTTATATCGTAGAATGCGACTGTTTTATGTTACCTTGCATGCGAACCTGTTTATTCACTAGAGATAACGTTGATCGCACGCAGAAATGACCAAAATTACGTTTCGTACAGCGAGGCTATGTTCGATGATTTTTTTGTCAATATTTTATTACTTTCTATTTGTTAAAAAGCTGCCTGGTTGTGCGAACGTGAGCATTATTTTTACTCGTTATCGTTTAAGATCGAATCGACACACCCGTGGAACCTGCAATTTCTAAGATTTTCCTTTCGCTTAGCTTTAAATCCTCGGGTGTGTTGGTCTCACGTTTTTACCGTATTTGATCGTATACAACATTATCGCGTAGTTGATAATTTAACAGCACTTGAGGTCTAATATTTGTTTTGAAGAAGCGTGGTTTCGAGTGCAGCTTGTTACGATATTACAAAAGTCGTTCACATTGCATCACGCTACAAGATGTTCGACACGAAGTTCGTTACGTTGTACGTACCTATATCGTTCGAATAATAAATAATATATTTATGCGACAATATGCTTCAGATATCTTTAGTAACCATCTTGCAAATATGTATAGATTTTATGCGAAATTCACAACTGTAAACACGCGCAGAATTCATGAAATAGCTAAAAATATTTGCTAACGTATTTAGTAGGTGAATCATTTTCAAGTCATTACGCGGATTCATAAAAATATGAATTTGCATAAATATCTACAGTCTATAAATATACATATCGCACGTTAACATTGTCTAACGTGTTTTTCTAATCAACCGGCGAGAAAATCACTTTGTGTTTCATAAAACGACACAGTAAAAAAACAAACAAGTTTATTCGAATAACAGAAAAACAATTAGAACACCGAATAAGACGATTTTATAAATTATGATATTTACATTACTCTAATCCGACCAGACGAGCTCCTATTTTATTTAAAAAGTCTGTGATTTCCTGGGTACTCGTTTTGACAGTCTTGCGTGGAAACTAAAAATAATTATCGATATATTATTATTCAGAAGAAGTTAACGTTTTCTCTAATTATTACGTTACATGTTCAATCAAACCGTCAAACTTTTTTCTAATTTTCTAATTTTCTAATTTTAAACATTTTTCTAATTCCACATAAAAAAATGCGAGAAATCTTAATTATTTTCTAAGTATATTTCTCCGTCAAAGGGTTAATGTTCTACATTTAAATATACGTACGTCAACGACACCGTTCAGAAAATTGCTAAACTTCTCGAATCCATCGACCAGAGTCCGACCAATGCCGATAAACTTGTCTCCAGAGTTTCCATATTTTTCCTCCTCCTTGATACCATCGACCAATGGTGTAGGATTCAGAAAAGATTCCAAAACGTTCGCGATAGGTTTCGGAATTGGCTTCTCTAGGAAACCCTGCGCAGTTTCGTTCTCCAGTCTCACAGTTTCGCGCGCGTTTGGTCGAGTGTTCGTAACTGGCGGATACTGGGTCGTTACCGAGGATATTGGTTCGTAGTTCAAGGCCACCGATTTCTGCACTACCGCTGTCGCCATGGTCTGAGTCTCGCTGGCCAAAGCCTGTTCCATAAAGGATATTGCGCGTGTTTATCGTTTGAATATTTTATACTTGCTAGAATACTGTTACGATTTCTCAATCCTTGAGTTTAATGATAGCATGAATGTTAGGCGAACGTTCCAGTGATATTTTCCTATATACTAAGACATATTTCACTGATTACCGCGATTCTCGTGTTAATTAGACGAGTTCTACGCGCGATTCAACCTCGATTTTCCTTCCAGTCAGGTCGATTTGCTATTCGTTATTGCCACATGCGATTAGAAAAAAGATAGCTTTACGATAAATGGTGAAACTCTGTTGAGAGATGAATCGATTTATTCGATGTATATGTCTTATGCTTTTTCCCTCTTTTCCGAGACACAGTGATAGTTTTATCGATATTTAAACGAATTATTTACTGGCCCAAGTTTTATAAATATCTAGACGAACCTTTCGTCAGGAGAAATGATCAGAGTACTGAAAATTAGATTGCAATTGGATCGAGGGTGTGTTTCAATAACAATAATTAGAGAGATGAGATAGGCGAAGAGACGATCATAAATGACGATTATAATATCAAATTCAGGGTTATTAATTAAATTTCATGTTGATTGTTTAAGACAAATGAGTTTTTTCTTTTTCGGGTGCTCTCGAACAATCAATAACATCGTCGATATTTATTGACAAATCGCACTTTTAATGAGGGCTATTGACAGAAATATCGACAATATTATCGATCGCCTGGGGGCGCAGTTAGAGAACAAACCGATAGAATTTTTATGTCGATGTAATATTAAAAAAGCCTATTAGAATGGGAGACAAATCGATGATATGCGGTATCGAAGTCAGTGCGCCAATTACCTGCGCCCGACTGGCTATGATGTTTCGGGCCAATGTGACGGAATTCACAAATCTGCCTGTGCCGATTCTTATCGCGTCCGCGACACGGCCTAAAATCTCCTACAAAAACCGAAACACAATTTTGACCTAACCGCTATTCTATACCAAATTATGTAATCTTAATCGAATCTTTGAATATCGCCAGTGTTCTTACTACTATCGCATACTATTTTCATAGCATTAAAATTATGGTGGATAAATAAATATAGGACAATCTGTGCAATCTGCTACTAATCTGTGCAAGTAGAAATAAGAACAAACAGTAAACGATATAAAATATAGCTTTAAACGCTTCATTATAAAGCTGTAATTAAATTAAACAATACGAAAAATGAATCTTATGCGATATAGATGATATCATACTCATTGGCATGATGCCAACATGCGGCATAATATAATTCGTAGTGATTGATAGATAATATCAATAACAGTGATTGCTTAGAATACTAAAACTTCTGTTTGAAAATATAGCATGAATTATTATAATAAATATGTATTTCAGTTTGTGTTCAATATTTGCATATAATTTTATAATAAAACGTTTACAGCAAAACTCTATACAACATATCTTCCTCATTTTCACTTGTGTATATATTTTAGACTATAGTTGAGTAATTTATTCAAAGAATGTGAAACTCTCTCTATGTTAAAAATGGTCAGTGGCCTTTCTTTGTGAAATTCCTTTAAAAAACTATAAACGCACTTACCTTGCCTGGCGCGTAATTAGACACTAGCCTTGTAGCAACATTTCTCGAATTCGTATCTCCCGTATTTAAGGTGAATCTGGTTGGTTGTTCCACGGGTAATCCCATCGATAAATCGAGCCGACAGACAAGGATCAAAATACAAAATCTCAAGGTTCTTCGTTTTTCAAGACTTCCCCACATCGTTGTCCTGCAAAGAAAATTTCTTCGCCACTAGCAACTTCACTTTCTTAAATGAAAGTGACGATACTTTGTTGCGGAAGTATACTCACGACGCGGTTTTTCTTCTACTTCTTGCCAGAAAATCGTTTTACCGTGTACGAAACGAAGATAATTAGAACAGAACTGAAGATTTATCGCATAGGACGTTCCTTGTATCGCAGTCATCCAGCGACTAACACATTACGTTGTAGTCGGTTATAAAGTTGGTTTACGCTCTTACGACAGACACTTACTTTCTCTTTCGATTTGCTTCACGATCTAGGAACAAGGCACACAAACAGCCGTCGACCGTGTACGTACGTGTTTCTTCGAAAGCTCATTTGCAATCGAATAATTCGATATCAAAAGAAAAATCATTCAACGATCGAAAGCTATCATCGACGAAAATTATATTAATGACGTCATAAGTGAAATTTCTTCGCAATACGTATAGTAGATCACGAAAACACCTATATAGTTATCACTATTTTTACCAAGATTTTTCTGAACACGTTATGTGTATTATAGAAACCTTTGGAAAATTTCATTACTATTGATAAAATTTGATATAGAAGTTACAACTTACTATTTTCGGAATTTTGAATGCGGAATTTGAGTTCGGGCAGGCTCATTCCCTTCTTTAGGAAATACCGAATTACATGTCCTCCCGGAGCTGTAAACCTAATGACTCCGAGGTCAGGCAAAAAACTCCGGCAAAAACCCAGCCGAAAAGGCACGATGGACAGACGAAACACAGCGGCTGGTAGGGAGAAGCAGCAACGTAGGACAGTTCATCATCAGACATCGTACCGTGTGGGTGAAATACTTCACTCCCAACAAGATCTTACCACCGCCGTGTTCATAACATCAGACTTTATTTTTATACAACAAGTGCAAATACAGTGCTAGATTACTCTAACACTCGATCTATTAAACCACCTCGCTCCACCTTGAGCGTAATATCGACCGATCGGTTTGACCTGACCGGTTGCTCTTTAGTCGAGGATTCGCAACACTTACTGCAAATGTACACTTAGTAAAAAATTAATGTACATACTCATACGTAGTAGTTTTAAACATTAGTGCTGAACGTGGCTTTGCCAAAAGCATTGTGACTTATTAGTATTGTACAATAAATAATTATTTGTTCTGAATACTTTGGTGACTTGTGCGAAATGACGTGTGCTTGTGATAAATATTTGGAAGCTTCTGTATATGTATTATTGTCAATTTTTTTTAGAATTTCACTAATATAATCATGATAGATGTTATTAAGGTACCAATGAAATTACAAAAAATATATTTATATATATTTTATATATTTATTTATTTATTTATTTTATATATTTATATATATTTATAGAAGGTTTCTATGCCTATGTGTTCGTACACTTTCGCGTACCATTGTATCGTTTATTATTGAAATTAATGAAACCAAAGCACTTTGCACATATTTTAATATAAAGCCCTTTGTGTTAAAATACGGATAGAAGTAGAAGAAGGTGAAGTTTATATCGCAATCACGATCTGAGCTATAGGAGTTAAAGGGTCGATGTTGGAAGACTTGTCCTCAAGAAGATATTAGAACGGAAAATGGGTGAGAAAATGTTCATTTTTCATTTTTGAGATAGAATTTTATTTCACAAAATGCACATTTTATTGTAACACGTATAATATATGAATATGCATATCCAAATTAAATTGTACGAATGCTAATGTATAAGACAATTATCAACCGCTCGTGGTGCTCGTTATGTTCAAGAGAACCAACAAGATCTGGAGTAATAAAGCGACTATACTTGCGACAAGAGTTAATGGAATCTGAAACATGCAAAAACAAAAATTACGGTTAAGGTGCCTGCTCACTGATGTTTATGAATAATTCGACATCTCATCGTCGTTCGTTTTGCATATTTTTCGTGAACATATTCGTAAGACACATACAGTCATTCGTAAAACTCTTCTTGCATTCGATAAAAAGGCCATTTTTAATGAAATAGAACGCTACAAGATTTCATTGCGAAGTATTTTTTCACCATTTTCTTATTGTTTTATATATGATAATATACAAATATGTATATGCCTACATCTTATATATTTTATTTCAATAAAAATGACTATTTTTGTAAGATGTAAATTGCGAAGACGATTTCATCGACGATTGTAATTGTTCGAAGTTACGAAATACACTGAAGTACATATAGAAAATATTTTGGCAGATTTAATAACAGTTTGTGAACAGTTTGTGTTAGTGCGCATTAAACCCACAAAAGGTTGGCAAACGTATTGCAAACACTTGGTGGGCAATGTCGTATTTGTTAACGAATACACGTGTTTAAAGAAAATACGTCATTTTCGCTTATTAAAATAAGAATGATCAAAGTGAATAACATATTAAAAACGACTATTTAATAAGATTATAAGAAAATTACGAAATATAATATGAAACTTACACGCAATACTTGAGATAGGAGTACTATGAGTGGGCCAACTATAGGTAAGCTTTCCAAGAGTTCGATTATAGGACCAAGTAGTATCTGAAGTTGTGAAAGATTTCCATTCAAAATACCTCGAAGTAGTTCACCGATCGACACGTTTTGAAGACCCGCCAAGAGCTTAGTCAGGTTACCGGTGAGGCTGTTTCCTCCTAGATGTAATCATGAAACATTACATTAACATTATATGAACGTATTAGTTGAGAAAACCTTTCCAAGTCTATTATATAACTTCTTTAAAGTTGATTATGAAGAGAAATTGAATTTTATTTTAATATTATCACCCCTTAATAATATTATCGTAAATAGTGTTATTCATATCTACTGCAAATAATAACTTATTTATCTTGTATTTAATATTAAATAATAGTAAAATCCTTAATAGCATTTGTTTGATTTTATTCATATCTAAGGTAAAATAATGTATTCGAGTGAAATTTCATTTATAATAGCATAAACGTATATATAGCTCTTGACGATTAATTATAGTTAGATCATGAATGGCGGATAGCGACGCTTCGATTTACACGCGATAGAAGATAACTTATTATGTCAGAATTTGATTTCATTAGTTTTCCGAAATATTTTGATAATCGTACTAAAATGTATGAAACAATTTATTGTGTACAGTGGACTGAAATTATTAAGGGGCGAAGATTACGAATTTCATCGATGCACGAAAAGCTCAGAATTTCTTTCTAATTTTTATTAGAATTCGATAGTTTATTAGAAGGCTCTATTTAAAGGGCCAGAGATAAAGCTATTACCTTCGGTAGAGTTACCACTCAAAAGAGGTCCAAGGATACTAGTGAGGGCATCGTTGAGAGTCGGGGCTTCGGGTATTGAGTTACCAGTGCTTCCTAAAAAATCGTTTAAAACATTCCTCTTGCTTAATTTATTGCCTATTAATTAAAATGGTAAAATCCAACTATGTCTCTGTTCGAATATCATCGTTCATAACTATTCGGATGCTTTCGCAGTTTGTAATACGCAAAAGCGTATAAATTGGCTGGATGTTTACTTAAATTTACATTTTTACGAATATCATTAAAGGAGTAGTATCTAAATAGTGGCACGTCTCATAACTATTGTGGCAGTTTATCTGGATATTCAGTACATTCCCGTATACTATATGCTTCTGTATATTTCTGTACATTTAAATTTCAATATTTAGAAGCATCCGTAATCTTATGATAAATTAATAATCATTCGATTCGATTAACATTTATTGTAAAATACCATAGGTTGTTAGATAGTGTCGATCCGTAAAATGCGAACATTTTTGAAAAAACGACGTTTCAGATGCGTCAAGCTAATAAACGTTACATCCAACAATATCAATAAGATACATATATTGCTTTACCTATTGCCTATTGCCTATTTATTAAATAGGGTGGTACCATTACCTTGTACAGTAGAAAGGACGCCCTGTCCAATCTGAAATATCAATATATCGCAATGACAGTGTTCTTAAGCAGCATTAAATAGAAATAACACAAATCTCGAAATACAATTTGTAATTGTCTTCGTTATAGTAACTATTTCAAAGAAACCTTACCAGCTGACCATTGCCTATGCTGGCCAAGAATCCAAGCAGGAAGCAAGTGAGGAATAAAGACAGTATAACTCTCATATTGACGAGCTGTGTTTTTTTGTATGGCTTTGCGACGAAAATTCAGGAAGCGGCTCCTCGAAAGTACTTGCTTTCTGGTTGACTCGTTCATATTTATATAATAGTTATCAGTCGGTCTATATCACATTGTTTGACCATTAATAGTAAATACCTCGTAATAGCTGTCATTGTTCGGAAATTAGCATTGATATCCAAAAACTCGACCTTGGCTTTGTCAAACATCATTATTACTACTATTCGTACGTTTCATGAAATTTCTGAACACTCGCATATCTTGTTTTTTACATAACATAATTGCGATTTTTATCGAATATGAGCGCCTAAAAGTAAGATACCGACAATTTTCGCAATTGGTAACACTTCACTCGGGAACACATCTAGGAAAGAAGCAACAATGTAACAGTATAGGAATTTTATTTCGTATATTTACTTAGAAATGATAGAGCAGAAAATTATAATTATCTAACTAAAACCATTTCCAAAATATGGTCACGTTCGCCTTTCCAAGTACTCGATTTTCCAAAAGGATCACGGACACGTCGATGGACCCGATGGCCCATGGGGATTTCTCATCCCTTTAGCACCTTTACTTATTACCTCCACTGCAGTTCGTACCCTTTGTCTTATCAAATTCATCGAATTTTACACGATTATTTCACGATACTATAATACAATAGGTTTCATGTTTACAGAATAAAATAGATTATTTTCGATTGATTTATTAATACAGTGTGAATCTGGAGTGGTGGGAATAAACAGTGAAAGAGAGTTCAGTTTAGAATAATTTATTAAGAAAATTCTAACAAATTAAACACAACGCATCTATATCTATTTTTAATGGATAGCTATTTCCATTACCACTAAGTCTTACAATGTAAAAGTGTGTATGGGAAATCGACGCAACACGATGTCGTTATTTATCCGGCATTATTATTCAACAGTTGATTAACAGCGTTCAGCGTTGATATCGGTATCTGTGAAAAGGAAACAGTTAAGTGAATGAAGGAAGCTTTCGTTATATCATATACTACCCTTCTTTGTAAGTATCCGAACATACTGATGTTGATGAATTAATAATTGGAATTAACAAATTATAAATTCAAATTACATATTAAACAATACAAAAGCAATACTATTTACCCTATAAATTGATTATTTATATATCATTTATTGAACCAACATCCTATCCGTTTGAAAGATATCTTCATAATGTAATTTATAATTTAAAAATGATAGAATCCAAAGATAAAATGTTTACCAAACTGACAGAATAACGTTATAAGACCCGACAGTTATAAATGCCAGTCTTAGTATTACGTATACGGTTCTTAAAAATCAATTTAATCTCGTTATAATATTTTATTATACGGCTATGCTGGTTATATATATTCATCGAATTAAAATTTATCTTGTGTAAGAAACAAACAAGCGTCCAAATACTTTTGGATAGAAAAATAAGGATAATCATATTTTTTACCTGAAATATGTCATCGTAAAAACCAGGACTTTTGGTCCTCATTACAGCTACTTTTTGTGTAGGAGTAGGGTCTGAATAATAAATCGCTTGACGCTTTTGGATGTTTTGAACATTTGAATCGGCATTACCCTGCGGCTCTATTGGAACTGTATGCTCTTGATCAGCCTGTCTCTTCGACTCCCATAACTTTCTTCTACGGTGACGTGGAAGGACTTTCGTTAATCGAACTAAAAAATAAATCTCAAATGTATAAAAAGTGTCGTATTACGTTGTATTGTGTCGTGTTAATCCATTAAGGGGCAACGTTACGTTGACGCGATATTTTATCAGCGTTCTTTTTTCCATCAACTTTCATTATGGAATTCTATTTTCGTGCAACGTGACTGTGAACGAGAATTCTGAAGATTTTTATCCTAGTTATTTTTTTCACGTAGACTTTACGACCTTATGAAACGTAAATAAATTGATATAATTATAACATTATGATAAACCATTGGTTGATCCTTAATGAGTTAAGATTATTAATTAACTGAAATTTTTCTCACCAACGCGTATATCATTCGTCTCGCTGGACAAAACAGGATTAACCTCGGCGATAGATAGCGGATTAACGTTTAATGCTTCTTGTATCTGACGCAATCGTATTCACAGATTATTAATTCGATCTAAGAGCAACGACCTTCAAATTGATGCCATTAATTCAATTGTGTTTACCTCTTTTTTCGACGAAGAGTCAATTTGCTTAAAAGCCTCTGGAGATTCCGCCGGCACAGCCACTGTCTACAAATTAACGATAATTTTACCCTTCATATCTCAACACTTCATAATTTACTAATCGTACATCACAAACCATATTCTTTTTCTTCTACTTTCGTATCATATATTTACTGTCTGAGA